CAACTGCACAATGGGTTAACCTGCTGTTTTGATGGTTCCAGTTTTCTCTATATAATTCACATTCCTTAGAGCAGTCTGCTGATGCCTCAGGGACAGAATCTGTAACTCGAGGAGGCCTTTACGCAAAGGAAAATAGCAAATGCATTTGAAGTTCGTTTCTGATCCTGTTTTGATTGATTTACTTTGTCATCATAATTTTTAAAACTCTTTCTTTACAAAATTGATTTTTTTTAACTGTTCCTGGTATTTTCATAAAACGGGTAATCAAGATATTTCTTGGTTTTATTCAAATAGAAAGCAAAAACAGTGGCTGCAACATCGTCAAGGTTTACTCCCTGCCTGGACACATTTTGTTTAAAGCTGTATTTGGTGTAGTGAAGTAGTTATAGATTTTTGTCTCTATGACTACAGTGTCAAATCAAAAATTCTGTCTTTTGCATTCTATAGATGGAGAAGGTTGAGGCAGATCTAAGTAGATCAAAATCTGTCCGAGAGAAGCAATCAAAAGAATTCTCTTGGCAGTTGGAGGAACTCAAACAACGATATGAACAACAGGTACATATAATCACATTCTTTTCTACTTTTATGGAAACAAAGATTCTCTGTCTTCTCAGGAAATGCTTAGAATAATTCTGGTCACTGGGGATTCAGTGAAAAACAATAATGATTTTGATTCTCCCACATTATCATTACTCTGCACTCGTTAGTGCACATCAGGGTCCTTAGAAACTAAACCATTTCACATTAATGTGTACAGTGCGTTGCACTGAGTGACCAATAACACTGCTTTATAGACTTAAGCGACAAAAAGAGCAAAAATCTATTTGCTTTATAAGGAAGATGACTGAACAAGAATGAAAGAAAGAATGACGGTAAGGTGCATACATTATCGTAAACACATGCAAAACATTACTCATGCTGAGACTAATCATTATATTGATTCACATAGAATGAACCCACCTTCCAAACATTATTGACCAAGCTAGCAGAAAAAAGCATCTGCTATGAAAATTGACGTTTTACATCATGATGTCTGAAGACGATGCCCCAGGAATCACTGATTAACCTTTTTTTGGCAGGGTGGAGAGACTGAAGAAGGAAAAAGATGTAGCCTTGCACTGCAGGATATAAAATTGAAATAAAGCACCTGTACTTGTTAATTAGCAGTAACAATTATTACCCTTTCAGTGCACCTGTTTTCTTTTAAACTGGACATCAATTTTGCTTTAAATTACAAGCTCATGCTTCCCTTCACTGATGAGCACAAAACTCTTAACCTCAAAATGTTGCCTGCCATTGCTTTTCTTTTTGTCTTCCACGACATGCCTAATCCCTCTTCAATTTTTTTAAACATCTTTCTCTTTGAAATAATAAATAATTGAAATATGTAGGGCTGCGTCATGAACGTAAGCAGCGTTGATTCAGTTCAGTACAGGGCAGTGGAATCAAAACTGATGAATATTAGAACAGTGCTCCACAATGCGGGTTTGCAATATACTGATACATTAGCAAAGTCGTTGTAAACTGCAAAACCTTGGCTTTATTGTTTGCATGTGGAGGGACGGGAGGGACAGCATTACCACGTTCAAGATTGAATGTGTCTATAGTGAAATCTGTTAAAAAAAAGTTCGAATCGAGACGTCCCTTGGGGTCGAATTTATTAATTGGTTTCAGTTTGAAAGTTGCCTAAGGGTTAAGTACTCTTAGAATGCCCTGCGCATGTAGAAGCATTTGAGAGTGATCTAGCCATCAGCTGTTAGACAAGAGAATGTCTGTGCTTAAAATGAGCTTATATCTTTTGGTCCGAACGACATCTCGATGAAAATCAACCAAAACTGAAGAAAAATGTAAGTGACTGTTCCTAGCAGCTGTGTGGCCTGGCATTTGCTGGAAATCTGGCATCCTGCAGGCCCCTATTCATCACCTGCTTCAAAGCCAGCCTGGCTGCCTATAGTCAGAAGGCCAGGTAGGGTGCCATTGTGCACAGTCTGGGCGGATTAGTATCAAAGCAGTAGAAAGTAGGCCTCGGTTTCATACTACCATTCAAACCTAGTGAGAAGAGCTGAGGATTGGCCAAGGTCACAGTATCCAGCTTGGTAGGGACTGAGAACAGAATATTGGGGAATAGACTGCTTTATGTGTAATCATAGCAAGCTACCAGCACAGCAGGCGTCCTGCTGAACACGTAAGTCTGTTTATTTCAGAATCACGTAGCTGACAGCGAGATAATGCTCCGGCTTTCATGTAAAACCGACTGTAAATTGGTTTATTTTTGTCTGTGTGGAAATTGAACAGTAGAATTGTAACCTGCTGATTTTTCCACAAAAATAAAATCCAAATTCTATTCTGTAAAGATTTAAAAAGAAAAAAACCTTTTGTGCGTGTTTTCATTGAAACCTCATTTTTAATTTGAATAGCTGCAGAAATCGGCATTTAACGGTTCAAATAAGGATTAGGTTTTACAACTTTATAGAAATATAATTTTGGGCCAGTTATTTCTGTAACAGGCAAATATTATAAATGTAGCCTGGTGTTTATAAAAGTTGTTGATCGATTTATTCCTTTTCTGCTCATTGTGGAAAGAACTGGAAAAAATGATCAGTTTCCAAAAATGGTGTGGGAGGGGTGGATACAAGTGAGCAGGTATATAAAGAGCAAATTCAATGGAGTGCTTTAACACCTGCAGAGGGGTGTTGGCACGATGACACAAATTCTATTTTGCATTCTATTGGGATACAAAAAGAAAGGAATACCTTTGACAAATTGATCAATTTACAAAGAATTAGAGGAAAAATGCAGTAGAAGAATTGTTGTCATGGTAATAGTGATGTGGTATTGATGAACAGTACTCTTCCTTATCCAATCAGATAGTAGAATTGAAGCTGGAGCATGAGCAGGAGAAGACGCACCTATTCCAGCAGCACAACACGGAAAAAGACAGCCTGGTCCAAGAGCACGAACGCGAGATTGATAACTTAGAGAAACAGCTGCGTGCCGCCATAGTGGAGCATGAAAACCAGTCTCAGGAATGGAGGAGGCGAGACTCGCAGGTGAAAATGGCTGACATCATTTTTTTTGTTTATTTTGCTAAATAAAAGAAAAATCTTCCTTTCAGTATTTGCAATTCGCTTTTGGGAATGTTGGAGTTGTAAGCTTGATCGCCGATTTAATGGGGGCGTGCAGTCCTTCGCGTATGAGTCTTCTAATGCCGAATAGGGATAAATAAGCTTAATCTGCAGGAACTGCAGGTTGCCAGCTTTAAAATGTCCCCTGATGCGACAGAATTTGGCCTTTCACTTTCACGTGGAGTCACGGTTCCATTATTTTGGATTTCTTCCGTAAACTGGGAATCATACTCGGTCTTTGTCATACGCGTAAGTTGAATGTTCACGTTTTATCATTTATTTTTATTTTGCTCTGTGGGAAGCCACACATCATTTTTATTCCCATCAGCCACATTTCAACCCCCTGCCCTCCCCAAACCTTCTCCCACAAATCCCTCATTTTTGCACTACTGGATATCCTGACAGTGGAGTGTTCTTGAATTTGTGCGGTTTAGGCATATTGCTCTCCCCTAGAGTTTTTTTTTTGTTGCCTTTTTCTCCCCCAATCCTTGAACTTAACAGTCACTGTTGGAAGCCATTTGACAGAATAACCCCCAACTGTGGACACATTTGAATCATCAAACTTACGGATGAAATGTGCATTGTCAGCATGGAAAATGATTTAGATTGGTTCTGAACGTTTTTATAAAAAAAAAACTTTCAGATGCGTTGTGTTTTTGAGCTGTAAACCTAACTCTATCAGCAGGAAGGAAAGAGGCCTGCATGAAACCACTGCAGAAAGATTAAGAGAATGCGGTGATATTTTGCTCGATGTCTGCATCTCTGGCAAGTACAGTAAAACTAGCACAAAAATAGCCTCCAATGATATTAAAATTTTTCCATTGATACCTGAAGGACATTTGCTTGAAGAATACTGATTCAAAGAAGGACAAATGAATACATTGGAAGCAACCTAAAAGTTTTACTGTTTCCTTGCACATTCAATTCCATGCCTCAGCAATAGATTTAAATTATTCAACACCCGAAAATATGGATGGGAGGGTCTTTTTCAACCAGTTTGTCCATAATGAGTTGGTGCTGTCAACATGTTGTCCATTCATTCCACTTGAAGGCATCGGCACTACACAGTGAATTATCTTAATATTTTTTAAAATCATTTTATTATGAAAAAAAATGGATCATAACTTCAGGGATCCACGGTTGTTGAGCATTAATATGAAATCATTTCCAACAAAAGGAGTATTAAACCCAATGTGCCTGCAAGGGTAGGTCCATAGGGCTAAGTGTCTGCTTTGCATGGACAGAGTGATTTGAAGCTTTTGAAAGATGCCAGGTTCTGTACCCAATTTCCCAAAGTAAGATGACTTCTGTTGGCTTCTACAAATACCTGAAGATTTTTTTTAAGCACTTATGGACAGAAGTCTACACTAAGAATCACTCTATTACTTTTAAACTATAGCACTCACAAATAGAATTTTTTCAACAGCTGTTTTTATTTACATAATTGAAGCTTGTCAAATCATTTTACCAGGCCATGTAAGTTTTCTTATTATGTTTAGTTGGAGCCACTGATTTTCACCATTTATTGATAGACCATCTTAAAAAAGCTGAAACTCCAATAAATCCCAACTTCTTAAACAGTGGGCATGCAAACATAGACAGAATGTTGGAGACAGTAATAGATTTACAGAATATTTATACAAGAATAGTATCAACTGCGTATATGAATGAATTATATTATGAGGAGCATGAAACAAACTTGATTTTTGATGGAGAAGCAATTTTATAAGGGATCACAGCACAAGCCAAAGATATTTCATTTCAATCACACTCTCCTGAAGTCACAAATGAGTAACTTGAACAATTTAGTAAATTCTGGCGTGACGATGCACTATTTCATTTTGCCTATGCTCTGATGGCCATTTTTCCCTGAGACTCTATCTCATTCCCATCTCTTTGTAAGAAATGAGTTAGGCGCATATAGAATGAATGCACTGATTCTCGTAGATGTCTTAAAAAGACATTTGCCATTTGGCTTTGAGTATTATTATTTCAAGACCGACCAGCTGTCCATCAAATAATGTGATTTTATATTATCCTATTAAAACAGTGCATTGAGATAAAATGTTTAATTCAAGTAAACATGTCTGTTAAAATATCATGGTTTGCATCTTCTCAAGCTCCTTCTATTTGCCCCAGCTGTCAACTGGTGTAGAAGAATCATTTTCAAGTTCTAGTATCTTCAGTAAGATATGTTTGATCATCCCCAAATTAAATATTGAAATATAACCAGATGAAGGATAAATGTATTTGATTACCATTGAGCTTTGTTGAAGAAAAGCTTGATGGTGTCATGTTAGATTTGTTTAAGAAGGATTTGATAATGTTTTTGCTGATCTGAGAAGTGAAACAAAAAATAATTGGAAGGTTGGATTGGGAGGAACGAAGTATTTTCTTGGACAGGTTAAAAGTGGTTGTTTGAAGATTAACATTATCAGTATTTGATTTTGTCTTCAGTTATGTAAGTTTGGTATATGTGTTAATTATTGCACCTCAAACAATCTAATTTGAACTTGTTGATTGCACTAAGACTATAAAAAAGTATTTATTTGTCCACCAAGGCTTATTCCATGTTAGGGTGCTCGTGCCATGCAAGCTGTCAGAACAGATGTAGGTTAGTATCTTTAATCAAAGGATTTGCATGTTGTCAGGGAATTTTAAATTCGTTTTACTTTGATAGTGGTACCCTTGCTAGTTCATTATTCAGTGTTTTTTAGTATATAAAAGTGAATCTGAGATTTAATGTAGCATATCTTCATTATTGAGCACGCAATCCTGACTTCAGAGTGCAACAAGGAGGGGAGGAATGGACAGTTTGAATACTTCTAAATCCAGACCAAATTTTGTTTGAGAGTTTCATGATTTGGAAGTACTCTTGATAAAATAAATTGCAATTAATGTTCCTTTTTCCAGTAGGCCTTCTGACATGAGAATGAAGAGCATGTACTTCATGCTTGAAATAGATCACAATTTCCAAACTAAAGCATAATACTCAATATCGTCAAGGGTTTGTAGTTAATGAACTGAAACAGGACAAGTAGCTGCAAGGTGAGCAGCATGAACAATACAAGGAGATGCCTGGCATAACTTCAAACCAGGTAATTATCAATGTCAAAAACAGAGACAACCTATTAGCTGATGATATGTGCTACCAAGCAACAGCATGTGGCCATGTCAAATATCCCATGCACCAGCATGTAGCTCTCTTGAAGGAGAATGGAGAATATGAAATACAGCAGGATGTTGATCCTAGACAGGCTGATTTTGTCTGTGAACCATCGAGGAATTATCGCCTTTTTATATCATTGTAGCAGTCATCAATGCATGTAATTCTCCTTTCAACAATGTTCATCCCCTTTGAGTTTGAAGGATTATACCATCAGTTAGGTAACAATTGAGCTGCAGTAGTTTAGCTCATTTCTAGGAGTACCAATTTTATCACTGTTAATTCTGTTTTTTTTGTAAGATATTGTAAGATTTCAATATCTTTGTAATCTTTTAGTTCTTTTATCAGCAAAGTGCTATCAGCAGGAAATGTCCCAATGTAAGGATGAAATATTAGAACAACAGATCGTCTTGTAGTACAAAAGCTAAATATGATGGGTGCTGGAAATCTGAAGTAAAAAACAGAAAATTTTGGTTATACTCAGCAGGGCTGGCACCCTCTGTGGTGAGAGAAACAGGAATTAGCATTTTGAGTCTTTTGATTCAAAACACCATCAAGTTACGTTGCAGCAACTCAAGGAGACCTGTCTGATAATAAAGTAAACTGTAAATCCATCCTCTGATACTATTGTCTTCAGAGCATAGAGCATGAAGCATGAGTTCATCTTGCTGGAATTTCAACTCTCCCCTGTGCCTTATGGTATCCTCCCTACCCAGTTCACAAATGTAGGTCTCAATGTTGCTAGAGTGAAACTTCACAATATATATCTGCAACCTTCAGCTCAAAATACTTTTGGTCTGTGTGTTTCTGGAAGTGCAAGCTAGTAGTGGCTTGGTAAGGGCTGCTGTGCAGTTGGGACTTCAGTCAACAATAGGTCCAACAGCCTGTCCTCTTAACCAATGAGCAAGATATCTATCACCGGCCACCTCCACCACCACACAGAACACGCACACATGCACACATGCATAGGTAAATAAATAATGACACATCAATTAACCCTGATATTATGCTGCCCACACCAAAATGCAGGTGTAACACTCAAGACAATGGGCAGCCCATTTTTCAGTGCCTCCATGAAGAAAGACAGGAAGAAAGGGATTAAAGTGCCCCATGTGCAATGAGGGCATTCCCCATGCCAAGATACCACTCCACTGCTCCCTCCACATTACCTGCTTGACAAAACCTGGCTGCCACCTGGCTCCTCTTCTTACACTCCTAACACCTTTCCCCCTCTGTTCTCTGGACTGTAGGATCCATATCCAATATAAAAGGCCAAGAATTACTTTCCTGTAGCTGCCATGCTCTTCTTCCAGCAATACTAGCAATGCCATCTGTAGAGGCCTGCCACTCAGCAGGAGATCCTTCATTTAGGGAGTGTAGGCTGCCTCCAGTGCCACAGGTCTAGGGTGAGCTCCCAATATACTTGTTGGCTTCCAATAAACTTTTCTTCAGCTGGGAGTTGGGGAGAAAGCCACCCTCCTCACCCATACATTTTTCCCCAATGAAAGCAGTGAAAAAAAGAACACAAAGGTGTATTACAATATAAGGTGTATTTCAGTGAATGACGTGACTTGAATAAGGTAGAGAAAGAGAAGGAACAGATGGATTAAAAAAGAAGAAATATAGAAAAAGAGACAAAGGAAAAATCAAATAAGATTTGTAATGTTTTAAATTTCTGAAAGAATCTACCTCATACAAAAATAAGATCCAGTAGTTTAAATTATTTCTTTTCCATCTGTAGAGATTGATTAGGATTGGA